ATGGGTACAGCATAGTAGGTGCAAGCAACTCTGCTTCAGCTGAAGACATGTGAGATGGCCAAGACAGATCACCTCAAGAAGTTTGTACCTGTAGGACTTGGCTGCAGAGTAACCTCATATTGTGGACAGGAACAGTCTGACCCAACTAACTCTGTAGCAGCAAAGTAAAAAGCAAGGTCGCTATAGTTGCAGAGGACCACAGGCCTGCTCATTAGACAGTGATGACTGGTGATGATTTAACCCGAGGGTCACTATGCCTCAGGCAAGGGTAGAGTTTGAGAAGGAGGGGTCTTCATTGTAACCTGAGTTGGTACAGGAATTGAAAACGCCCTATTGGCTCACTCTGCATCGCAAACCAGCCATTCAACTAACTGAACTAACTAACTCTCTTGCCACTAAAGTACCATTATGAGCCTGGCAGAGAGGCTATCGTGAATCTGTCACTTCCCAAAAGAGGCCATTGGCTGCTCCTATGAAGGCAAGTCGCGTTCCTGAGACAGTGCCCCAACACACCTACAAATTGTTATAAAAATGGGCTTTGAATGAGTAATGTGACATCCTGCAAGGTCCTCTAGACACTGTTCTCTCAAAGCAAAGACAGCAGCCAAAGGACTCAATAGCAGCTGCATTATCTATCCTGGAAGATGTCAGCACTGGATCATTCATAGTGTGCGTTGCTGTTGTAATCGAGACCAAAAGACCAAAAGATAACGGAACAGAAGTGGGCCATTCGCCCCAGTAAGTCTGCTCTGCCATTCGATGAGATCATGGCTGATCTGATAATTCTCAACTCCACTTTTCTGTCTTATCTCCATAACCCCCAATTCCCTTCATGATTACGAATCTGTCTATCTCAACATTGAATATATTTAATAACCCAGCCTTGACAGCTCTCTGGTGGTAAAGAATTCCAGAGATTCACAACCCACTGAGATATTAAATTCCTCATCTAGTCTGTCTTAAACAGGCAACCTCTTCTGCTAAGGTTATAGCCTCTGGTCCTAACTCTCCTATAAAGGGAACCACTCTCTCTGCATCTACCTGTCAAGCCACCCAATATGTTTCAATAAGGTCTCCTTTCATCCTTCAAAAGTCCAATGAGTGCAAACCCAAACTACAATGGGATGAGGGAGGAGTTGGTTCAGGTAGACTGGGACCAAAGACTATAAGGTGGGCGAGTTGAGGAACAGTGAAGGACTTTCAATGCGATCTTTCATAGTGCTCAGCAAAAGTAAATACCAGTAAAAGGGAAGGACTAGGAAAAGGGATAATCAGCTATAGATACCTAAGGAAATAAAGGAAAGTATCAAATTGAAAGCTAATGCATACAAAGTGGCAAAGATTAGTGGGAAACTAGGCGATTGGGAAATCTTTAAAGGTCAACAGAAAATGAGGAAATGGCCGAGGTGTTGAACAAGTATTTTGTGTCAGTCTTCACAGTGGAAGACACAAATAACATGTCAATAGTTGATGATGAGGCGGCTATGGCAGCTGAGGACCTAGAAGTGATCATTATCACTTAAGCAGTGATGTTGGGCAAGCTAATGGGGCTAAAGGTAGACAAGTCTCCTGGCCCTAATGGAATGCGTCCCAGGGTATCAGGGGAAGAGCAAATGCGCTTGTGATAATTTGCCAAAATTCACTGTACTCTGGGGTGGTTCTGGCAGAATGGAAAATAGCAAATGTGGCGCCACTTTTTCAAAAAGGAGGTAGACAAAAGGCAGGTAACTGTAGGCCTGCTAGCTTAATTTCTGTATTGGGGAAAATGTTTGAATCTATAAACAAGGAAGAAATAGCGAGACATCTAGATAGAAATTGTCGCATTGGACAGAAATTGGCCCATTGGACAGATGCAACATGGGTTCATGAAAGGCAGGTCATGTTTAACTAATTTACTGGAATTCTTTGAGGACATTACGAATGCGGTGGACAACAGGGAACCGGTGGATGTGGTGTATCTGGATTTCCAGAAGGTATTTCAACAAGGTGTCACATAAAAGGCTGTGGCTAAAGGTGCGCGGCATTATGGGTAATGTATTAGATGGATACAAGATTGCTTTCTGTTAATTAACCAAAGGGTGGGGATAAATCAGTGTTTTTCTGGTTGGCGATCAGTGGCTAGTGGTGTGCCTCAGGGATCAGTGTTGGGACTGCAATTGTTTACAATTTGCATAGATAATTTGGAGTTGGGGACCAAGTATGGTGTGTCAAAGTTCACAGATAACACTAAGGTGAGTGGTAGGTGAGTGGTAGAGCAGTATGTAGTGAACACTGAAAGTCTGTAGAGGGATATAGATAGGTCAAGTGAGTGGGCAAGCGTCTGGCAGATGGAGTACAACGTTGGTAAATGTGAGGTCATCTATTTTGGCAGGAATAACAGCAAAACGGACTACGATTTGAACGGTAAAAAATTGTAGCATGCTGCTGTGCAGAGGCACCTGGGTGTCCTTATGCATGAATCACAAAAAGTTGGTTTGCAGGTACAGCAGGAAATTAAGAAGGCAAATGAAATATTGTCCTTCATTGCTAGAGGGATGGAGTTTAAAAACAGGGAGATTATGCTGCAGCTGTATAGGGTCCTGGTGAGGCTACACCTGGAGTACTATGTACAGTTTTGATCTTCTTCATTGATAAAGGATGTACTGGCACTGGAGGGGGTGCAGAGGGGGTTCACTAGGTTGATTCCAGAGTTCACAAGGTTGGCGTATGAGGACAAAGTGAGTAGAATGGGACTATACTCATTGGAATTTAGAAGAATGAGGGGCAATCTTATAGAAACATATAAAATTATGAAGGGAATAGAAAAGATAGAAGCTGGGAGGTTGTTTCCACTGGTAGGTGAAACTAGAACTACGGGGCATAGCCTCAAAATAAAGAGGAAACAGATTTAAGACTGAGTTGAGGAGGAACTTCTTCACTGAAAGGGTTGTGAATCTGTTTTCCCCCCCAGTGAAGCAGTTGAAGCTGTCTCATTGAATGTTTTTAAGGCAAAGATAAATAGACTTTTGAACAGTAAAGGAATTAAGGGTTATGGTGAGTGGGTGGGTACATGGACCTGAATCCACCAAAAAAAAAATCAGCCATGATCTTATTGAATGGTGGAGCAGGCTCAATGGGTCAGATGGCCTAATCCTGCTCTTATTTCTTATGTTCTTACGTACTCAACTCATAAGCAAAGCCCTCCAGACTGCAATCAATCTGGTGAAACTTCTCTGAACTGCTTCCAATGACAATATATCTTTCCTTAGATTTGGGGACCAAAACTGTTCACAGTAATCCAGGTTAACAGTTTTGTTATATTTCTGAATTTAAAGACTAATTATTTAAATAAAACTCAATAAAGATGGCAGGGCAAGCGATGTGTTTCAGCTGCAGTCGGGACTGGTGGACACCAGTTTGAACCATGGCAACCATATCTACAGTATGTGTCTGCAGCTTCAGACACTGTGATGAAATCAGTCATAGAGACATTGTAAGAACCAGTTATCGAAAGAATGAACAATGCACTCAAAAACATCATATGATCAGATAAAGTGAACATGGTTTAATGAAAGGAAAATGCTTCTTGAAAGTTTTTGAGGATATAACTAGTAGGGTAGACAAATGGAAAGCAGTAGATGTAGTGTCCTTGCATTTCCAAAAGACATTCGATAAAGTGCCAGACAAAGCTTAATATACAAGATAACAACTCATGGTTTTGGCCATGATATGTCAGCATAGACAGAGGAATAGTTAATGGACAGGAAGCACAAAGTAAGAATAAAGAGGGCATTTTCAGCAAGCTATGATAACCAAGATGCCACAATGAGCAATGGTAGACCTTTAGCTATTTACAAATAGGACGAAGAGGCAGAAACTATTGTGTCTAAGTTTGCTGATGATATAAAGCTAAGTGGAAATGAAAAATGTGCAAAAAGAAAGCTGCAAAGAAATATCGAAAGTCAAGTGCATGCGCAACAAGGCAAAGTATAATATGGGCAAATGTGAAGCTATTTTTTGGTTGCAAGAATAGAAAAACAGCATTCTTTTTTTAAAAAGATATGAAATTTGTCAAGTTTTGGAGAAAATTGGGTGTACTCAAGGACCACAAAGAGTTAGCATGCAGGTGCATCAAGCAGCTAGGAAAGTAAATGGCATGTTGGCCTTTATTTCAAGGAGATTGGATTGGAAGAATAATGAAGACTTGTTACAATTGCACAGGGTTTTTTTTGAGATCACTCCTGAAATATGATGTGCATTTTTATTTTCCAAATTTAAGGAAGGACATACATGCATTGGAGGCAGCATAATGAAGTATCATTAGATTGGTTCCTACAGAGTTGTCCAAGGATGACGGGATGAGTAAATTCTCTGGAGTACACTATTATGAAGGGGCATGGTATAGTAGATATTGAGAGAGCCCTCTGGCTGGGAACTCGAGAAAAAGAGGTCACAGTTTCAAGACAAGAGGCATTAAGTTCGGATGGTGATAAGAAGAAATGACCTCACTCAAAGCGTTTTGAATCTTTGGAATTGTCTATGCCAAAGAATTGTGGATGTGCCATCACTTAGTACACTTAAGGTTGGGCAAGACAAATTATTGCTCTCTCAGAGAATTAAGGTCTGTGAGTAGCAGTTGGGGAAAATGGATCTGAAGCCAAGACTAGCCATGACCATTTCAGTGGTGGAGCCACCTTGGCAGTCTGGCTAAATTTTCTAAACACCTTTTGTAATAAATTTAACTTACTATCAAAGAACAAAGAAAATTACAGCACAGGAACAGGCCCTTCGGCCCTCCAAGCCTGCACCGATCCAGATTCTCTATCTAAACCTGTCGCCTATTTTCCAAAGGATCTGTATCCTTCTGCTCCCTGCCCATTCATGTATCTGTCTAGATACATCTTAAATGACGTTATCGTGCCTACCTCTACCACCTCCGCTGGCAACGTGTTCCAGGCACCCACCACCCTCTGCGTAAAGAACTTTCCATGCATATCTCCCTTAAACTTTTCCCCTCTCACCTTGAAATCGTGACCGCTAGTAATTATTAATCATTAAGAATTAGTTGAGTAAACTTTTGTCTTTACAACCTGGACATGAAAATTTATCTGCAGAGAGTGTACAAAGAATTATCCAGTAGACAGAATGTCACCTCATCAATATTAATTTAGTTTTCCTGTTATTTAAATTATTTTTTGACAACTTGGGGCAGGCTCTGTAGCCTGCGTGGGATCCTTCTGGTGCAATGTTGCTCCTTGCTCTCTGACCAGGATGTGGTTAATATCTAGATTGCAAAAATAATGAAATTGAATGTATTTTCCAGTTGTTTATGATAGCTGCCTTAGGTCAGCCTTAGGTCAGTTCATTCATTAAATGAACTAACAAAAAGAATCCCTCAAAATGCCAAAACACAAATAAGATATGGTGAGTGCATTGCTACAAGTTTCCTATGCTTCCAAAATGTTATATCACTGGAAGTTATTTATTCTGTGCAGGCTGAACATATTTATACTGTGTTTGAGGTGATCTTTCAAGACAATGAAGTGGTTCATATTATTTTCAAATCCAGTTATAGATACTTCCAACCTGTTGCAGCTTTAAACATTGTCTTTTTTAAAATGTTGCAACATCATTTAAAGCACATAAATAGCACAATAAATTATTTTCTTCATATTTTTACATGCATATTTAAGGCCACCATCCTCTGTAAATGCAAAGGATGATGCGTGGAGTGCAGCTCTGCATGAAAGCATGGTCAGTTAGTACTTCTACAACTGGAATACAAATCAGGAAGATTAGTACCTTGTACAGTTAGTATTGCCTGTGTCTGCACTTCCCCAAAGTCATTCCATGCTTCACATGTATATTTTCCTGTATCTTCAGGAAAAACTTCCTGAATAAAAAGACTGAATTCATTTCCATTCTTCTCAAACTGGAAGTCTTCTGATTCCTGAATTTCTTTCCCATTATGGAGCCAGATAATTTCTGGGGGTGGATTACCTAATGAATTTAACACACATTAGCATTAACAAATAGCAGACAGGAACCCTCGCAACTGAGTAATGATGTATATTTGAACTTTTCAACTATCCTGAGAGAAGGTGATCACATTCCTTTGCAGTGATGAGGCTATTAAATCATGAATAGGCATGAGTTAAATATTTATTACAAACACATTAATTTTACAGCCAATGATAAAAATTAAGCTGGATTTTGCCCAACAAGAAGAATATAACATTGTTTTTGTCTTTTTTTGTGGCTTGACTTTTGCCTCAATCAGGAATCAGAAGAGTGTGGATTCAAGTCCCACCAAATTTCCAGTTTGCCATTCCAGTGCAGTACTGAGTTTAAACCCTTTCTTTCTTCTGAGGTAGAAGAAAAATCCCATGCCACTATTCTGAAGAAAAGCAAGGGAGTCATCAATAATGCCTTCGTCAGTTTTAATCCCATATAAATATTTTATCAGGTCACAATCATATTGCTCTTTGTTAAAACCTCCTGCATGCAAAATCAGTTGCCATTTCAAAAGCACTTATTTGGCTGTAAAGGACTGTGATACCTCCTGAGGCTGTGAAAGGTGCGATAGAAATGTAATTTATTATTTCTTTCCCTTAACTCTACAAAATAAAGGCTGTTTTTATTGCAAAACAAGAAAGTGTTTTGTACAGAAATTCTACACTCAATTTTCAGCATTATTTTAAATATTGATGAGCAATAGTTGTGACATACTGACTAATCAATGATCTTTCAGATAAACATTCTTACTTGTATCTTTTAAAACTTAAACGTCATTGCACGCTACTCACAATTTGCATGAATAATTTCTTTCTCTGCATAGTTTTATATCATAAGACCATAAGATAAAGGAGTAGAATTAGGCTCTTCCGCCCACTGAGTCTGCTCCGACATTTGATCATGGCTGATATGTTTGTCAATCCCATTCTCCAGCCTTCTCCCCATAATCCTGATTACTTACTAATCAAGAACACATCTCTGTCTTAAATACACTCAATCACTTGGCCTCCACAGCCCTCTGCAGCAATGAGTTCCACAGCGTAACCACCCTCTGGCTGAAGAAAGACCTCCTCACCTCAGTTCTAAAGGGTTGTCCCTTCACTCTGAGGCTGTGCCCTTAGATCCTGGTCTCTCCTACAAGTGGAAACATCTTCTCCACATCCACTCAATCGAGGCCTCTCAGTATTCCTTGACTGTCAATCACATCTGCACTGAAGGGATTCTATGATTCCCCTCAGCCTTTTAAACTCTATCGAATACAGACACAGAGTCTTCAACCATCCTCATATGACAAGCCCCACATCCCTGGGATCATTCTCATAAACCCCATCTGGTACATTTATGAGAATGATCCTCTCCAATGCGGGCACATCCTTCCTTAAAATTGCTCACAATATTCCAGATGTGGTCTCACCAGAACCTTATACAGACTCAGCAGAACATCCCTGCTTTTGTATTCTAGTTCTCTTGAAATGAATGCTAACATTGCATTTGTGAAGGATAAAACAGAGTTATCGTTTCGGGTCCAGTGACCCTTTCTCAACCTGAAACGTTAACTCTGTTTTTCCCTTCACAGACCCTGCCAGACCTGCTGAGCTTTTCCAGCAACTTTGTTTTTGTTCCTGATTTACAGTGTCCGCAGTTCATTCGGTTTTTATCGAACATTGCATTTGCCTTCCTAACTGCCAACTTAACTTGCATGTTAGCCTTAACAGAATCCTGAACTAGGACTCCTATGTCGCTTTGTACTTCAGATTTCTGGAGCCTTTCCCCATTTAGAAAATAGCCTATGCCTCTATTCTTCCAACCAAAGTGCATAATCTCACTTTACCACATTGTACTCCAACTGCCACTTCTTTGCCCACTCGCTAGCATGTTCAAGCCTTTCTGCAGCATCCCTACTTCCTCAACACAACCTATCCCTCCAACTATCTTTTCTCATATGCAAACTTAGCAACAATGCCCTCAGTTCCTTAATCCAGATTGTTAATGTACAATGGGAACAGTTGTGGTCCCAATACAGGCCCCTGTGGAGCTCAACTAGTCATCCTGCCATCCCAAAAAAGACCCCTTTATCCCTACTCTATGCCTTCTGCCAGTCAGCCAACCCTCTATCCATGCCAGTACCTTGACCCTAACACTGAGTGTTATTTTATTTAACAGCCTCCTGGACGGCACATTATAAAGGGCTTTCTGGAAATCCAAATAGATTACATCCACTGACTCTCCTTTATCTAACTTGCTTGTTACCTCCTCAAAGAATTCTAACTGATTTGTTCAGCATGACCTCCCCTTGATGAAGCTGTGCAACTTAGTCCTACTTACCATGTACTTCCAAGTACTCAGCAATCTTATCCTTAATAATAGTCACTAAAATCTTACCAACTACCAAGGTCAGGCTAATGGCCTACAGTTCTGTCTTTTGCCTCTCTCCCTTCTTGAACAGGATATTACAGTAACCATTTTCCAGACCTCTGGGACTCTCCCTGATTCCAGTTATTCCTGAAAAATCACCACCAATGCCTTTAAAATTTCTTCAGCTATCTCCATCAGAACACTGGGTGTGGTCCATCTAGTCCAGGTCATATATCTACCTTCAGACCTTTCAGCTTCCCCTGCACCTTCTTCTTAGTGACGGCCACTACATTCACCTCTGCTCCTGGACTCTCTTGAAGTTCTGGTACATTGCTGGCACCTTCCAGTGGGAAAATGCATGCAAAATATCTATTCAGTTCCTCCACTATTTCTTTGCTCCCTATTACTACTTCTTCAGCCACATCTTCTAGCAGTCCAATGTCCATGCTTGTCTCTCTCTTACCTCTTACATGCCTAAAATACTCCTGCAATTTTTTTTTATATTATTAACTAGTTTACCCTCATATTTCATCTTCTCCACTCATTGTTTTTTTTAGCATCATGGTACAGGGAGCATTCAAGAGAGGGGAGAAAAGACAGGAGTAGTTGTAATTGGGTCATTGCCAGGTATTTGTGTGGCTCAACTGTTACGTGCGGGATTAACAATGGAGTTCTGTCACAGATGCATTGCCAGCAGACTTTTTAGGCTGTGATCTCTTACGGCATGTGGTTCTCTGGGACAGTGGGTTCACACCTCACCTGCCACTTCCACTGTCATCCTTACTTGGCTACCATCCATAACCTGCAGGTCAGTCAACTCCTTCAGGATAACAGGGGCAAATGTCCTTTTGGACCCTTCAGCACTTGTAGTCTCGGTCTTCTTGGTGGTCTTCTTTTCTGTTTACAAAACGAAATCTTTGTATAAAATGACTTTAAACATTTACATTAATTCACTTTATGATACTATAACAGAGATTTTTCAATGGGGGAAATCTGGAAGAACATAAGCCATGCCCTCTTCATGTGAAGTAGGCTGACACTATTATAATTTTGATGTCAGCCTAATTTCAATATTTGGGGCAACCTTTTGGGAGCTTGTCCACGTAGGGGTAAGGTAACATACTGCAGCAGGATATAAAGGCCTACAGTTTCTCAAAAAGCACTGAGCACAAAGCATAGTCTAAGAAAGACGTGTAGAAATGTTGGTGCCTCTAATATCACCATTCAGGCTACAACATGCTTGTAAAAATGTATGCTGCCACAATAATTTGGATCTCTGTGTGAAATATAATGTAACTACACAAATGCAACCCTTCAAATCGCAAAAGTGCCAACTGGTCAGAGTGTTCTGCTAAAATAACAAAGTCTAACATTAAATTGACCAGCAATTCGTACCAAGATTTGCGCAGGTTAATCATTAACCTTGCAAAAAAAAGATAGCTCACTGCTTACTTCTCTATACATTTCAGGAAATTGTTGCATTTCAGCTGTTAAAATTAACGAAAATAACCACACAATGTGAATAATACTGTTGAACATCAGAGAGCAATCTTAATTATTTTATGGATCGGATTTCTTTTTCAACATCTCTGGGCCAGAATAGGAACAACTGCATCAATGTAGTCTTATTTCTACAGGCAGTTAAATGTTCTTCAAGGTTTTCATCAGTTTTGTTTTAATTTTCCTTTCTGTGTCTTTTTCTCTATATCTTAATCTATTCTTTATTCCATTGCTCAGGCCTTTGAGTATAGGAGTTGGGACATCATGTTGAAATTGTACAGGACATTGGTGAGGCCTCTTTAGGAGTACTGTGTGCAGTTCTGGTTGCCCCGCTATAGGAAAGATATTATTAAATTGGAGAGGAGTCGGAAAAGATTTACCAGAATGTTGTCGGAAATGGAGGGTTTGATTTATAAAAATAGGATGGCGAGGCTGGGACTTTTTTCACTGGAGTGTAGGAGTTTGAGGGGAAGTTGAAGCAAGTGAGACTAGTTTAGTTTGGAACATGATTGTCATGGACCGAAGGGTCTGTTTCCATGCTGTTAGACTCTATGACTCAGTATCTAAGTTTGAATTTAATTCAACCTATATCTTTGTCCATTGTGGACTCCTGTGTTACCCTAAATCTAATTTTAATGGGGTGGGGCATTGGACACACTGTTCACGAAGACCCAGATGTGTGATCCTGGTATTAGATCTCACTTTCAGTAATTTGTGATGGAAAACGTTATTGAGCTGGAGTATGAGGAATAAAATCTAATGAAAGATTCACTGGGAAATACCCTGTTCATGTAAAATGTGAGCAATTGCATAAAAATGTCATGCACTGAGACATTGACTGGATGTTGATTGGAAAGTACCATTCTCTGTAACAAACCATTATTTAATCACAATTCATAAATAATGCTTGAAAAGGAGGAATATGAAAAGTAACATGGTGAGGATAAAACTGGATAATTTTATTGGGTAATACCACAAACAGTCTTTAAGGGATTAAAAATTTGCTTCTGGACTGCAAAATTCTTTTGGCCAAATTTACAACTTACAGGCTAAAAACAAAGAACTGAGGATACTGGAAATCTAAAACAAAAATAGAAATATTTGGAGAAACTCAGCAGGTCTGGCAGCATCTGTGGAGAGGAAGAACTCAGTTCTGAAGAAGGGTCACCGGAATCGAAATCTTAACTCTGGTTTCTCTTCATAGATGCTGCCAGACCTGCTAAGCTTCTCCAGCAATTTCTGTTTTTATTACATCTTGTAGGCTTCATTAATTTCAGAGATTAAATAGGACTGGCGTTCACTGAAGAACTGATTTGTGGACTTAATTTTCACGCAGGTATACCTAGACCTGTTTCAGAAGTTGATTTCATATCAAGAATCATCCTTTCTTTGATAATATTTGTCACTATTGAAATGTAAATTCAAAATTCAGATAATGTTTTGAATATGCAACCTTAACACAATTAATGATCAAAGTGCGCTATTTGGACAATTTTGAGATATATAAAAATGTTTGACTGGATGCTCACACAAGGAATGGGAATACAATATATAAAGCAATCTACCAGTGTTATCAGCCAATTAACATTCATCAGGGAAAGGATATTTCAGGCTAAAAAGATTGACTTTCATTTATTATTCTATATCATGATCTGGTTCTTTAATGCAGTTGGACTGGACCATGTGTTGCTTTATAAAACATTTCCATCCTTTTCTCAGTATGGGAGTATTTTAAACTTATTTTCAGACTATACTAGAATAGAATAGTTTGTTTTTGTTTATTGTTTGAATATTTATACAATATTTGAACAGCAGACTATTTTTTCAGTGTCTGGATGTAAATAGATGTTCAAGGCATATCTCACAGATGACTGTATAGAATTGGCCTTCATTAAAGGAAATGGTGTTCACTTTCCCTGCCTAAATTGTAACCATCATGAGCCATAAATTGTGAAGAATTAAAGGAGAACAGAGCTAGGTCAAGAAATGAAATACTTTTCCTTCCAATCAGAATTTGCAAATTCTATCCTCCCCACACCAAAACGTGCGCAAGCTAGTTACTCCTCAAACCTGGATAACAGTTCACTCATCAATTGCTCTGACCAAAGGTCAGGCAGTTGGCCTGATAGAATTGACTGAACAATACATGTGTGGCTCCAATCACTGATGTATAAGTGACAGTCTCTGAAAGAAGCTTGTCAGTCGGCAATTAGATTCTAGTTTATGATCAGATAGACCCAGTTACTATCTTGTAGGAGGAGATAACAATGTTTCTCATCTAGTGTTCATGCAGTTTTCTGTTCTTACTCTCTTGTAACTTGCTATCTTATTGATAGTAATACACCTATCCAAAGGAGATCCTAACAGAATCAGGAGGAAGCTGCAGCTATCTCTTATAGCATGGTGGCATATCTTCTAAAGAGAAATCATCAGCAGTGCAACAGTCCACATCCATTCAAAGTGAAAATAGAAGAAAAAAAAATTAGAAAATGATTGCCTCTTGAAGAATTCAGAAGCTTTTTACAAAGGGGTACAGATCCAGCCAACCGCTGGTCAGCCTGGACTGGAAGAACTACAGCAGCAAGAGTTAAAATCCAAAACACTGGAACCAGGAAAATAAATTCAGAAAAATATGTGTAAGGACCAGAAGCAGTCTCACTAAAGATAGAAGGTGGAAAAACTGAGTCGTGAATCAAGGGAAAAACAACAGACTCATTTCAGAAGTATGCTCAGTTCTTGAGAGGAAGGATGAAAATATTTATATTTATTACAGAAATTCTGGGCTGGTAAGTTGAAATGAGGTTTAAGTTGTTCTATTTATTAAATGAGTGGCCTTTACACTGATCAAAATTGGTATTATAAGCTGGAGTAAAAAAAATTCTTCAAAATCAGGATTAATCCTTAAGAAATTCTTCAAACCAGAAAGATTATTTGAGAGATAAGAATGTAGAAGTCAAAGATAGAAAAACTTTTTTTCATTAAAAATAGCAAATTTGGTTGCCTAACCAGAAATATTTAAAGGTGTGAAAAATGAGCAATTCAATTTTCTTCATCGAAAACAGACATGACCCAGTTGGAATCTGGTCTTTGCAATTTAATGATTGAAAAAGCGTTAACAATTTAAAATGCAGAAAATTTTAATGAGTCCAAAAATCATTTACTGGAAGCCATATGAGTTTAGCTAATTGGCCAGCATCCCCCTGGGGGATAACTGCTAACATGTTTGCTGCCTAGAGTTTTACGGCCTCCAGTGGGGGGTGGACGGGGTGGGGGTGGCTGGTGGTGGTGGCGACGAATGGGGTCTAGAAGCAGATAAATTCATACAGAAGAGGTTCATAACAACAGAAGTGCTGTTAGCAGGAGCGTCCAACAGACAAGGCATGGGGAGAAGTCCTGAGAAGGTTTCAGTCATGAATTGAAAGCTCCAGAAGCAGAAGGCTGTGGAGGTGTCAGAGAGAAAGAATCCTACAAGGTTGTTGAAGACATGCGTTTGGGGAATCCATGTTAAGGAGTAAATGAGCGGAGTTATTTTGTTTAATGGATCTCAATGAAAGGTAATAGTTTTGAGTGAATGCACTGCAAAAATTTGCCAAAAGAATCCAAATACAGCCCAAGGAGCTTTAGCATGGAGATATGAGTGACTCTCCAGAAGATCTGAATGCCTGTAATTATACTGCTGAGAAAAAAAATGCATGAATCTTTCTTTTTGATGTTTGTAATGAGATTGTTCCCAAAGTTCTAGCGCAATATCTTTTGTGCTTTACTTTTGTATATATAATAAACTTTTATGTTGCTTTGTTAAAAATACATAAGCAGCTTCTTGTGAATCTGTTCAATGACTGATCGTGGCAAACAAAACTTACGGTCTACCAAGCCAAGTTTCACCCTAGGATGAAACTTGCTGACAACATAGCATGAGATGCAGAATTGTTTCAGGCATTCCCAAAAATCTCAAACAGAACAAGTCAATATACTTCATTAATTTATGAGAGCATTCACAGACCATATTATTTATGAATGAAAAACAAAAGAAGTAGTGGTACTTTCAATGATATCTTAAAAGCATTTGACATTTATTTTCAGAACCAATTGTATTATGGAAAGAGCAAGATTCAATAAAAGAAAACTGTTTCTAGGAGAACCTGCTGCCAATGTCATCAATGATCTTTCTCCACTGTCTGAATGTTGTGAAGGGAAGATTACAACAAAATTATTTAGAGACAGATTGTTCATTGGAATTTCTGGTTAAAAACCTTTCAGATATTTCACAATAGAAGGAATATCTCATACTGCAAAAGTCTATCCTTACAGTGTTAGAAGTTGAAATTTGGAGAAGAACATATAAAAATCTGGGGTACAGAAAACATTTATTCCATAAGATGATCAAGGCACAAACA